GGAAATACTATGTAAGCTGAGCACAAAAACAAGGTAAGAGCACCTCCCCATCATGACTTGGGAAAGGGAAGTCTAGCAATTCCTTTACAATTCAGGAAACACTACAATCCATCATGTGTTTAGACTTAGAGTTCAAGACTTCATGGGAAGACTAGGTAAATAAATTTCTGAGCAGATTATCAATCAGGGGCCAGGCACCTTGAATCTCTTACATACAGCCCAATGACACAAATGGAAAGGGTGATTATCATCCTTCCTATTACTATTGTGCAGTCCAGCTCCTGTCCTTGCTTGGAGAGGACTGCTCCTGGCACAGCCAGCCCAGAGGACCGCATCGCTCATCTGCTCCTCTGCAACAGGTCTAACCTCAAGGGTTTTTGTTAGAGGTACTAGAGCCCATGCGATCTCCCCTACTAAGGCGACTTTGACTTCTCCAGAGCATGCAGACACAGTAGTTTTCATTCAATAAATGCTGGCTGAATTAAATCACACTTGGTCTCTCTGAGCCTTGGTTTCCTCATTTACAAAATGACGATATCTTTTCAGCCTTTTCCACAGAGCTGTCATAGGCTCCAATGAACTAATACAGATGAAAACAACTTTGCAACAGGGAAAGGGCCACAAAACTCTAAGGGGTGCTATCCAGCAGGGGTCACCACACTCACTGTAAAGAATGAAGTCACACAGATAATGACAGAGACTCAGTTGGGTGTAAATGGGCTTAAATTGCTCTGATCAAACCTCAGAGCAATCAGGTAGTACACAAATATTCTAGGAAAAAGTGTGTCAATAATTTCGGGATTTGGGTTCAAAGAGCCAAGGATGGCCCCTAGGTGATCCTAGAGTGGAAGCTTCACAGGAGGAGACGTCTGTCTGTCGTATCTATCAAAGCATCCCCAAGGCTGGGAACATTCACATTTGATGAATGGATGAATCAGAGACAGAAATGTGAGCACCACCAGAGTGCCAGACTTTAACCAAGACGGAGCCTGGCTAGCCAAGGAGATCCTGAATCACCAGCCTCCAGCAGCTGCAGTCTGAAGACCTTCAGGAAGTCTATTTTTTATTTTTATTTATTTATTTTTTTGGTAAGGAAGATGAGATCTGAACTAACATCTGTTGCAAATCTTGCTCTTTTTTTTTGCTTGAGGAAGATTAGCATTAGCTCTGAGCTAACATCTGTGCCAATCTTCCTCTATTTTGTATATGTGTCGCCACCACAGCATGGCTTGATGAGTGGTGTAGGTCTGCACCAGGGATCTAACCCATGAACTCAGGCTGCCGAAGTGGAGTGCACCGGAATTAACGACTATGCCACGTGGCTGGCCCCCACGGTCTATTTTAAACCTCTTCCTACAAACCCCTGGAAAGCTCCCAAATGAGAGGCACCATGGTACAGGGGAGAAAGCACAGGCCCAGGAGTTCACAGTCAGACAAATCTAAATTCCACTCTGGACTCTGCAACTCACTAACTGGATGGCCTCTCCCTAAATGTGGTTAGCAGAACCTGTTTTGCAGGGCTGATGCAAAGATTAAAGTTGACAGAACTTGTAAGTCACTAGGTACAATGCTGGGACATAGGAGACACTAAAGAAATCATCAGTCCCTTGTTCCCTCTTGGTGAAGGATGAACTCTATTAGGCTATGTGATACAAAATCCCCTAACTCAGATCTTAATTTTAGAGCAGACAGAACCCATATTCCCACTAGGTCCTAATCTGGGTAGAAGTGTGACAATTCACCTAGACAATACAATGAGAATTAAGCCTGGTGATAAAGACCTGCCAAATCATCAGCCATTTCTCCAAAATTATACCTAAAGTCATCTGAGTGCTAGTGAACTCTATTGCTTGAAGCAACAACAAGGCCAATGTCTATAACACGCACCTGGATCAGGATTTGGCTACAAGAATAAGGACGTTTCCAGTACATCCAGGACGAGATTGTGATGTTGTGCGAGATTCTTTGGAAAGAGAAAAAACTCCAGAGGTAACATTTTCAGGTTAGGGTCTTTTGTTGGCATAGGTAAGAAAATAGGAAAAACAGAGGAATTCTTATACTCAAAGAATGAACTCCTTCATACCTGCGAGAGTGTTTGCTCAGAAATCGGCACTGCTGTTAGCAACTGCACATGGGAAGGACACACCACCGACATCCTGTGAGCCCCAGTGACCTCTCCACACAGCACTTGGGCACACTCGATATTTACTTAGGACGCAATCTGATCCTGACTTCAGCGAGCTATTTCATAAGCCTTTTAGGGGTTACCACATTTTGCTCCTATAAGAGGCCAATCCAAATTAGCAACAAAAGAATAGTTAAACACAAGAAAAACCACCTCTTTTGTGCCCCTCAAGAAAGGCAGTCTTAGTCATTAAAAAAGTAAAGTGTTTTCTTCTCTATCAATTTTCTCTTAGAAAAATCAGTCCGGTAACTTTCCAAGGATGGGATTAGTAATCTTCCACTCACACCTGCCTGAAGATGAGGAGTCGTCGAAATGGTATATATGAATAATAAAAGAGCAAGTTATCTGGCATTTGTTCTGTGCCACGTCCCACAGGATTTATTCCAGTTATCAACCTCTCTCCAAGTACACTGACTCTTTACACTGTCATCTCTATTAAGTTAAGCTCATTCAGTACAATTTTTGCATTTTACTTTGGATATTGTATCTTTCAGTACTAGCATTTCCACTTGGTTCCTTTTTTTAGAGTTTCTATTTCTCTGCTGAGATATGCTATCTTTTCATTCATCAGAAGCATATTTTCCTTTACATTCTTGAGTATAATTATAACTACTTTAAAATCCTTGTCTGCCAAACTCAACATGTGTGTCACTGCACAGTTAGTCTCTGTTGATTATCTTTTTTCTCTTGAGAATGGGTCATATTTTCCTGTGTTTCAAGTAAGTTTGGCTTGTATCCTGGACAATGTAAATGCTATGCTGTGGAAACTCTGCATTCTGTTATATTCCTCTAAAGAATGTTGATATTTTTGTTTTAGCAGGCAATTATACTGCTTGAACTTAAACTGTAAATTCTAGGGTGGCAGCTCAAATCTCAGTACAATTATTTTAACCATCACTTAGCTGTTCAAAGCCTGCCCCCTGCATGCGTGATGTGGACATCAGTAGGGATTTAGGTAAGTGGCACACAGAATTTGGGGCTTGCTTTCTCCTTTCCAGGATTCCCTCTCTCACTTTCCAATAGCTGTGGCTGCTCCAAACTGTTCTTTGATTCTTTAAGCTAAAAGGACTGCAGATTTTCAATCAATGTTAACTGTCCTGCATGGCACACAGTGTGCAATTCCCTTCTTCCAAGTGTTGATTCGACTCCAAAATCTGCCTGTTTGTGTCAAATTTGAGTGTCTTCACATAGCTGTCTTTTGTTCAGAGTTTATAATTATTATTTGTAGGAAGATCAGTCCAAAAATAGCTTACAGAGCCATTAATACAAGCAGAACCTATACAACCTATTTTTTTTCCCAATTTTTTACTCTTTCTTACAATGTTATGGGTCATGAATTCAGAAAGGGCTTTGCAGGGCAGGCTGTCCCTGATTCATGTGGCATTAGCCGAGCAACTAGGGAACTGAGCTTAGAACTAAGGAACTGAGAAACTATCTAAAGAACTTCCAAGATGGCTTCTGGCTCACATCTGGTGCCTTGGTTTCTTAAACTAGTCTCTCTCTCCTCACCACATCACATCCTCCAAGGCTTCTTCACGTGAACATGGCAATTCATGGCATGGTGATCTCACCTGCACTTCTACATGGCAACTGGCTTCTAAGAGGCTGGAAATAGAATCTGCCAGACCAGTCAAGGGCTCTGTCAAAAATGGTACAGGATCACTCCCACCATATTTTATAATTCAAAGCAGTCACAGGGCTTTAGTCATCCAGATTCAAGAGGACGGAGAGATAAATGCCAAACCATAATGGGGGTGGGGTTGGCAAAGTCATACTGCAGGAATACATGCAGGATGACAGATATTTTGTAGTCATCCTGGAAAACTATATTCTGCCACACATATATTCAATATATGATGAAGCAAAACAAATGCCATCCAAAGTAAAACTCTAAGAAGATAGGGGCAGGCTAGTTTAATGTGAATTATGTAGTCCAATTCTCCTGCCATCCTTTTTATCGCCCTTCCACATTATCAATATAATTACCTCTAAGCTAATTCAGCACAAAAGAGGTTTCTAATGGCAGTCTATTGAGTTTCCAAAGATTTAATACTTAAATATTCATTTCAAAATTTCAATGGGGCCAGCCTGGTGGTGCAGTGGTTAGGTTCGAACGTTCCGCTTCTTGGTGGCCCCGGGTTCACCAGTTTGGATCCCGGGTATAAACATGGCACCGCAGGGCACGCCATGCTGTGGTAGGTGTCCCACATATAAAATAGAGGAAGATGGGCATGGATGTTACCTCAGGGCCAGCCTTCCTCAGATAAAAGAGGAGGATTGGCAGTAGTTAGCTCAGGGCTAATCTTCCTCAAAAAAAAAAAAAAAAATTTCAAGATACCTAGAAGAAAACACTTAGGATGCTATCATCCATAAATGTAGGGCACAGATGTAAGGTTTGTTTGTTTTTTCTTAAGATAATGGTCAATAATAATTACCGTTATTAAGTGTCTACTATTTGTTTGAAAATTTCTAGGCTCTTTAAACATCTGTTTTTATTGACTGACTGTTCTTTACATGATATAAGAGCATGTTTAAAGCACAGGTTAGGACAAGTATTGATAATTTATAAGAAGAGAGACTGCCTCAAACACACTAATGACGAATACAAAGCAAAATTAGAAAAATACAAACCTTAATACAAACAAATATTACATATTACGTTTATCTGTGGGAATATATACATATACATATATCTCAAGCTACTTTCTAAGCACCTCAAGCTTTGATTGCAAAAAAGTAAATGTATTCTAAATTCTAAATATTGTATCCTAAATGAAGCTATATATGTATGATACATACTAAGAAATAATCTTACCTTGTCCTGGTTATCTTTATTCTTGTAACACAGATTTCCAATCAGACGAATGAGATGAGACTTAAACCCCTCGGCCACATTTGAGACATCACCTTCTGCTTTTATGCAACCACAGGTACTAAAGACGTTTGTGGTATCACGGCCAGCTACATGAATCAGTCGTAAAAGATCTATAACAACAAGAATAAACTTCATATTCCATACAAAAATTTTCAGTATTTTGTACTAGTTTTCCACCAACAAATCTAATTCATTTTAATGGATTAAAATAAAATAAAGGTAGAATACTGAAAGTTTTCTTTAAATAATAATTAGAAGGCTCTTATGCTTTTTCTTTAAAATTTTTCATGATTCTGGTTTTGGGGAGATAAGCCATATTGATTATCCCAACATGGACTTTCTATTTACCCACAAAGAAAAGTTAGCTAAAAATTTTCCACCATCTTTCTTAGAAAAAGGTTTCCAATTCCAACTTCTCTATGAAGGAACTCATGTGATGACTATAGTCAGCTAAGTCTAAAATAAACACCTATCCGTCATGAGCCATACGACAGAAACCAAAAAGCATGTTGACTTTTTCTCATTGTCTTGATGATCAGAAGGCAGCATGTGTTCTCCATAGATCTGTTTTTGCTACATTCAGAAGAAACAACTTAATGTTGTTATACTCTATGAAATGCCTCCAGGCAGCCTATGAAAACAGACAATCTTCCAGAAGTCGTATTTAAATGTTTCCCATTATCCCATTTAACCCTCTCAACAAACCTATCAAGGGCAGATATCACTTTCCCAATTTTGTCTCGAATAAACCAGGCTCAGAGAAGTTAGTAATTTGGCAGTTGGGATGACAACCCATGTCTGCCTTGGCTCCAAATGCAGGCTTTTTGCACAATGATTCAGTTTCCCAGGATTGCGATGTTTTATTTTAATTATCACTAAAAGCACTGCATTCAAAATAAAACACTGATATGAGATTCTAAACATCTTGCACAGCTCGTTCATCTACCCATCTAGATACAAATCCATCTTTCTTAGCATATGGGTCTCCAGAATAAATATAATCTTTTTTAAAGAAAAAATAGCCAACAGTGAGCAGCAACACCATGAGCATGGCTAGCCACAAGCAAAGGGTTCGACTCGAATTATTTTGCAAACAGCTTTTTAGCAAATGTTTCAAACAATGGCTTCTTGTTTAAAACAGTTTTCTTGTAAGACTCGAAACCATAATTACTATGCGTAAGGCATTATTCTTGATGCCCCATAAACGTAATTAGGAAAAATTTACTAACAAATTCGGTAATACTATAGTAATATAAAAATCAGCATTATCATCATCATAAGCCCCCCATCACCAACACAACCACTACTGATGAAACATCCACTATGGACACTCTGTGTAACAGGCATTAGCATTCTCATCTACTCATCAGGCATCCTGAGTTAAACAGCAGAGAAGTGGGAAAAGCTTGAGCTGTTCCCAAAATACCATGATTCCTGACAAGAAAAAATATTCAAAAAAATATCTTAATACACCGAAAATTAAAGATGTGTGTTTAGACTTATATTACAGTACAAGTCAAAGATTTCTTAATTAAAAATAATAACATGTTATATTTCACTCACCAATCACCCTTTCCAGCAAGCCAGGAAAAACCTGTAGATAGCCAAGCAGATCTGTATTAGCAGTCATTTCACACAGGACATCGAGAAGCCTAATTGTAGCCAGTGCCTCCTGAAAAGAAAAGACAACATAAATACTAAAGAGTCAGTTCTTGTAACACATCTAAAGAGAGAACGAAACTATCAAGAACAAAAACAGAAGTATTAAATATGCACATGCACAATCATTTTCACTAACAGCAGACATCTGCCATCAAGAATGCAAGATTACGTGTCATTATGTGTCTTCTTGGAGTGAAGAGCCAGAAAAGTTCTTGCTCAAGCAAAAATACCTTCCAACAGTGGAATAAATGTTCAAAATTACTAGCTACGTACATAACATTTATGCAAATACTTTCTTTTTAAAGCCTTCCCAGCAAGCAAGTTCTACTTTAAAGATACAAATATCCCATGAACTACATTAATTTCTTGTCCACAGGAATTCTGTAAAATGCTGTGGTTGAAAGAACTCTGGCTGCAAGAACTTGCATTATTTCCAGATAAATACAAACTTACATGCAGTATCTTGGTAGGCTGGAAAAGATAATATTAATTTGAAAATGTTAGTTCACATAACTACTAAATAGTTTACCATCAAACAGACTACATGATCAAGAAACTACACAGCATTAAGTAATCTAAATAAAATTTTAAAATTCAATTTTTGTACAGATTTTGAACCTCATTTTTAAAGTACAGATTATTTGACACAATGTGGCAGATGCTATAAATTTAGGCCATAAGGATAACATTCTTCAAAAGAAAGATAAATTACTTTCTTTGGTTAATTCTAGACGTGCATTTATTGTTATCTAATTAAAAGACTTAAAGGTAATATTTTAACATAGCATTCTAAAATCTCGAATAAACAGCAAGAAACAACATACATTTAATGCCTTGTATCTTTAATTTTATTTAATAGTTTTCACTTGCTTGTTAAAAAGTTAGGGGCAAATATCTACATTAGGAGTCTGAAATTAGTACCATGACTAAAAGACTCTTGAGCAAATCCATTAACTTTGCAAGGCTTCAGCGTCCTCCTTTGTTAAATGGGTAGTTGCCCAGACTGTCATCTCTGGATACCATTTCTCCTTCAAGAAATGGCTGGTTGGTTCTAGGTCTGAGGCAGGGCACATACAAGATGATCCTGGACATCTTGTCATACGAGATAGGAAGGAAGCTATCAGAGACTACCAGGGTCACGTCAGAAGGAATCAAGCAACCTGAAGAGGCTCCCACTGGCCAGCAACGGAACACGAGAGCTTTAGGAAGAACTACAGCTAAAAGGGGCTGAAAGCAAAGCTAGTGGTTTTAAAGTCGCAACTTCATAATGATGATTAAATCAAAACAAAACAACTCACTCATCATCTTCGGATGATATCACAAAACTGAGTCATTACTTTAAAGATTGGTAATGGCGGGGGAGGGAGATCAAGCATTCATTCTGCTTTTCTTAATCACAATGTACCTTGTATAACCTAATAGTTGATTAGGACAAGTTTCTCTCTATAAAATATTCCAGCTAATAAATGAAAAATGAATGATAGAGTCAAAATACCAACATTTTGCAATCCCTAAAGAATTAATGGATTTAGGTAATAACCATTAACAAGTGGTAACATCAAAAAAACCAGACAACCAGACATTAAGTGTCTCTTGATAAAAGTACATATATAAGAATTTAATATATGATATACATAGCATTAAAGTTAATGAAAAGGATGCGATTATTCAGTAAATGATATTAATACAATAATTAACAGCTAACATTTAGGGAACATTAAGCTATGTACCAGTCAGTATACTAAATGCTTGTATTAAAATACAATTCAGGGGCCTGCCCAGTAGTGTAGCAGTTAAGTTTGCGTGCTCCACTTTGGCGGCCCAGGGTTGGTGGGTTCGGATACTGGGCACAAACCTACACACTGCTCATCAAGCCATGCTGTGGCGGTGTCCCACATACAAAACAGAGACAGACCGGCACAGATGTTGGCTCAGGGACAATCTTCCTCAAGCAAAAGAAAGAGGAAGATTGACAGCAGATGTTAGGTCAGGGACAATCTTCCTCACCAAAAAGAAATAAACAAATAAATTCATTTTACAGGTAAAGAAACGGGGGCACAGAATGGGTAAGCAAATTTTCCAAGATCATATACTAACAGAAGAAATCAAGATTCGAACACAAGCAGTCTTCCTCCAAAGATTATATAATCTCGGATAGTCAAAAGACATAAATAATTCATTTGGATCTAACCTTCACTCCTTACTCAAAAATAAATTCTAGGTTAATCAAAAATGTGGACAAAGGACGGAAAGAAGTAGAAGATACAGGTGCATATTTCTACAATCTAAGTGGAGGTTTTATTAAATATGTTAAAAAAAATTAAGAAGCCATAAGGATAAAATTGATAAGCTTAACTAGCTTAAAAACAGACAAAAAATTTCTAAAAGGCTAAGAATACTATGAATAAATTCAACAAAAAATTAACTGTGGCAGAAAAACTTTCCCATATATATGACAAAAAGATTAATTTTCTGAAGATGCTCATTAATAGAGTATTTTAAAAGGTAATCTAATATGGAAAACAAATTAACATACTGGCCACTAAAAAAAGTTAAAGACAAACAGTATTTAAATCAGATTAGTGGAGGGTTGCAGACCCATACTCTCTTGGTGTGTCACTTAGAAGTATCTCCAAAAGTCTTAAATAAACATACTCTGACTCAGCAATTTATCTTGGAGGAATTTATACTACCAGACTTGATTGTCCAAAATTGCAAAGACATCTGTACAAGGATATTCACTGTAGCATTATTTGTGAATGTTTTTAAAAAACCAAAGCTGGAAGCAACTGCTATGTATATCTATAGAGAATAAACGAAAAAAATTCTGAAGCATCTACATAGTGAAACACTGTTCAGCTATTAAAAAGAATGAGATGACTATACATACATGTGTTAAAGTGGAAAGATGTACAAGATACATTGGAGTAAGTGAGAAAAGGAAGTTGAAGAATAGAGTATATAGTATTTTTTTCAAAAAAGGAAACAAAAATGTATAGGTGTAAATATACAAAAAAACCTTTGGAAGGAAAAGAAAAAAGTATATGCTGATATATCGATAGAAAATAGATGGAGGCTGGGCAAAAAGAGGACTTCCTAACTTTTTGTTTCATTTACTTTGGCTTAAAGTATTATTTTTACAACAAAGCAAGTATTATTTGCACAATACAAAAATTTAATCCCTTATCAGTATGTGGAATAAAAGAATACTCTTTAACTTATTGCACAAATATTTATTAAATACCTACTATATACTAGATACAACTTAAGTTAGAGAGGCAAGGAGTAAAACAGAATAAAAAACCCACAACCCGTGGACAATTCTCATAATATGTGGATACAAGAAAATACAAAGCAAACAAAATTCCTTAACTTTCAGAAGAAAGGCAAGGCTCACCCCAAGTGACAAGACTGAGACTCAAAGCTGAACGAAATCTTAAATCTTAACACAGCAGCATACTAGAACTGACAAAAATTTATCAAAAGCTGGAACAAGAACTCAAAAACAACCCAAAAGACAGAAACATGTACGCCCACACAAGAACCTGAGACTTATATTAAGGAGCACATGAATTAAATCTCAGGATTTTAAAGTTAATCAATTATAGAAATTAAAAAATAGATGTTACAAAAACAACTATTTTCATTCTGATTTTTCGGTCACAGCCTTATGAGAACTGTGTTGGATATCTTGTCCTAAAAATATCACAAATGAGTAAATGCAGTGGTTTGCTGATAAACTGGCTGTGGGGAGCAGGGAGGAGGAGACAGGAGTGAAAAGCCCTGGTGTGCAGCATTTGCTGATTTCCATGGTATAAATACTTCCACCAGAGCTGATTTCAAGCTACCAAGAGTTTAAGAAGCAGCTCGCAGATTTCTGAATAGGTCACAACTGACTGTCAGAAGCTGGGACAGGCCGGTCCAGTCCATCGCCGGGCACATGGATAGTTAAATATTGAGCTAAGAGGTTTTCTCAAAAACTACTGCAGGTTTTTTTTTCCTAACTTCAAGGGTAACACATACATATTAATATGTACAAGTCATGAGTGTCTAGATCAGTGACTTTTCAAAAAGTGAACTATTTGGGCTTTTCAAAAGAAACCATCTAATTTTCCATCTATTGATATATAATAATTTCTCCCACCTTAGAAAAAAAACTTTTTGAAGGAAAAATAGAAATTTTCCTAAATATAAAAAGTTACATCAGATAACTTCTTAATACAATATTGAAATCATCTATACTATAAATATATGTGCCTTGAAAAAGTTTAAAGTTGTGATTTAACAAGTATTAAGTTTTACTTCCTTTTCTCTGTCTCCTAGACAATTCATTTTTAAAACTTTTTTGAAGCACAGCTCACTGCTCCTCCTGCTGGAAACAGAGGCAAATCTATCTCCAGAAAGGAGAGGAGCCCGTGAGGGAAGAGCTTCCCCTCCTCTATCACAGCAATAAAAACTAAAATTCTGGCCTGATCAGTGAGACCTAACGCAGTCTTTATGACACAGCACAGAAAATCAGTAACAGAGTAACCTTGAAAAAAAAGCAAATTCACAAAGAAGGAAATACACTTTCATGGTAGAACAGTCATAACGACGTACGTTCACAGGATCACACACAGCTCTCTAGCAAACGCTACAGATCAGTGTCCACATTCCCCACCTTCTCATCTGGAGACCGCGGGCGGTCCTGTCAAAGGGCAACTCCTCTCGCCTATTCCCACCTATCTGCCAAAGAGAGTCCCTCTACTTATCATTCCTATCAGCATAGAGACGACTTCTCTATTATGTTTTCGAACATGTTTAAATCAACTTTACTGAGGTATAATTTACATGCAATAAAATGCACCCATCTTAAGTGGACAATACAGAGGAGTGTCGATGTACACAGCCATGTGTAACATTTCTATTTCCCAAAATGTTCCTTCATGTCCCTCTGCAATCAATTCTACCCCTCCACCCCCAGCCCCAGGTGACAACGGATCTACTTTGTTATTATTGATAAGTTTTGCCTGCTATACAATTTCACAGAGATGGAATCATACAGTATGTTCTCTGTCTGGCTACTTTCGCTCAGTACGTTTAAGATTCATCTTTGTCATTGTATCAGATGTGCATTCCTTTTTACTGCTGAGTAGTATTCCAGAGAAAGAAGAATTCTAACTTTAAGACAGAAGAAGGAATAGACAAAAATAAAGAGAATTTCTTAAGAGAAGGAGGGCAATAGAATGAATGCAAGCTAGCTTTCAACCCCTTAGTAAAGAAAAGACCTAAGTGATTTAGAGTAGGCTGGAGGAATAAAAAAAATACTTAAGGTGCTAACCAGGATGGTGTATGATTGGGAATCTCCTATAAGGACAGAAGAAAAAAACTCTCTGGAAGGCAATTTAGAAATATGTACCAAAACCTTCAAATTGGCTATACTCTTATACTCAGCAATTTCACTTCTAAATTCTGGGTTAGTAACTATGGAAATGTACAAAGATGTAACTACAAAGACATATACTACAGCACCAATTATAATAAACAGAAATAAAAACAACCTAAATGTCCAACTACCGAGAGTGTGACAAATAAATTACGGTAAATTGTTTACTTAGAATGCTACAATGACATATTTTTATTTTACTTTATTTTTTTTGGTGAGGAAGATTGGCCCTGAGCTAACATCTGTGCCAATCTTGTTCCGTTTTTTTAATGTGGGACATTGCCACAGCATGGCTTGACAAGCGGTGGTAGGTCCATGCCTGGGATCTGAACCTGTGAACCCCAGGCCACCAAAGCAGAGTGCACAAACTTAACTACTACGCCACCAGGCTGGCCTCTACAATGGCATTTTTAAAAGACATTCACAATGTATTGTTTGTTTATTCCTTCAGCAAATATTCACTAAGTGCCTACTACGTACATAGTACTAAGAACATAACTGCCAAAACTTCTGCCCTCACAGAGCTTACATTCAGGAGAAGAAAAAACAGGAACTTATAAATGGATAGCATAAAATGATGTCATGTTTAATATACATATTTGTGCAAGTGTGTATGTATACATACATATATTTGATATTATCTGCCTAGAAAAATATACTAACTAGAATTTTTCTTTAAATCATTAACTCTGGATGGTAAGAATAAGGGCATTGTTTCCCCTTATCTTTATCTTTAACTGTTCTAAAATAAGGACACAGTCTTTGTCCATTCGGGCTGCTATAACAAAATATAGACTGAGTGGCTTATAAACAACAAACATTTATTTCTCACACTTCTGGAGGCTGGAAGTCTAAGATCAGGGCACCAGCATGGCGGGTTCTAGTGAAAGGCCTTTGCCAGGTTGCAGACGCCTGACTTCTCATTGTGTCCTCATATGGTGGAAGGTGAGAGGAATCTTTCTGGCACCTCTTTTATAAGTGTGCTAATCCTATTCATGAGAGCTCTGCCCTCATGACCTAATCACTTCCCAAAGGACCCAACTCCTAACACTATCACCTTGGGCATCAGGTTTTCAACATATAAATTTTGGAAAGGGGGTGCCACAAACATTCAGTCCGTAACAGATATGTTACTTATGTAATATTTTTTAAAGCATTTAAAAGAGAATTCCCATAGAGGACCTAGGTGAGTTAGAAAATCTCCTTGTTCTCTCTCTCACCGGAGATATGGAATCTGTCTTCTTACCTCATCATCAGCTTGCTGCTCAGAGGTCAATCTTAACACAACCTTGCACTGATCCACAAAAGTGCTTGCAATCAATTCAGCATGGCTCAGAAACACAGGGACGTCATCCTTGGTCAATGGCTCATCCCCCACTATTTTGGCTATTATAAGATCTAACAATGTAACCCTGTAAAACACAAAAGATTTTTACATGAATATTTAATATTGAAATTGTACAATGCTAAAAGTATTTAGAGACCATTTTAAGAAAATATTTTTACTTTTATTCCTTACTTTTCTAATGTCTAGCTAGGGAAAACATATTTCTTGTGAATAAAATTAATCTTCATCAATCACCTTTCTTTTGAAAATTCTGATTTCTTAGATGTGACTTGGCTACAGAAACAAGCACCTTTTATACCCATTACTTCGAGCATGGAAATAATTCAACGTTTCAGAAACGCAGTCAGATTACGTTTTACAACACATCCACAACAATAACAACAGCAAAGTTAAGTGGGCTCACATTTATTCACTACTTACAACTGAGCTAAGCATTTTACACACATTATCTCATTGAATCTACGCCAAAACTCCATCAGGCAGGCACTGCCATTAGCCTCACATTAAAGATGGGTAAACAGGGCTTAGTGAGGTTAATTTCCTTGCCCAGTGTCACACATACTGAGCTGCCACGTCAGGATTCAAGTACAGGATTCAATCTCTGACTCCTGGGCCAGGTGCTTTCCACTCATTTTACTGTCTTCCTTATGAAGGCTGGCTTTTGCACTTTGTTATTTTACTTTACAAAAACACAAATCTGAAGACCAAACCTATGCCATTTTCTACATAAATATTTAAATTATCACATAAATACCTCTATTCCATAACATCTTTCCTTCTCCCAAAAAAAACGAATCATACATAAGGCAATCTATCCAGCACAGAGCAAGTAGGACGTTTCTCAAATTACATTTTCACTTGGGATTATATGTGTAATTCTCATTTATTCCTATACCAGAAAGGTATGAATATCTAAACTGCTTACACCAAATGGGGGAAAATACACTTACATTAGGCATGAGCATTTGTTACCAAAAGAAAAACAGGAATCATTTACTGCTTCAGGTAAAAAGTAAAACTATACTTAACTCTTCCTGTATTTTGGCCAAATGATCGGAAAGTTCATCAGTCTGGAAAAATCACCCACAGATCTTAGCAATTTTAAAAACTCCTAAAACCTCAGATTTCTTCTAACAATTATTAATCCAAAATAAAACAAACAAATAATCCCCTCAATTGAGCATATTTAAAAACCACAGAGTTCAATATTAGGATTTTTTGTGTTCCCTTATTCACATACAATCTTTAAAGATGAGTAGGGTACTCTCGGGCCATAAAGCCAGGCTTTCCACTTTCCCCGTGCAGGATGACTTTCTGGGAATGCTAGGGAGGATGTCACCTATTAAGTGTGATTCAAAAGGAACCCAAATGTCTGTTCTAAAAATATTCCTTCTAAATTAGCATAATCTGGCAGTTATTACTGGCATAAGCCATGATCCCTGGCTTTACGGAATTCAGTACCTAGTGGACTATTACTCAAAACAGGATGAAGAGGAACGAGGTGGGTCCTAACTGGAGAAAGGACCAAACACCGGGGACAGGTCTTGAACAATGGGCAGATCCTGAAGGAGTCATGTGAGGGTGAGGACAGAAAACAGTCCAGAGGGTAGCGGCAATCAAGGCTGTCCAGCAGCAGCAGGGAAGCCCTGAGGTCCGAGGAAATTAACTGAGGGAAACCTGGGAGCTGGAGCTAAAGGTAACGTAAAAGCAGATTTTGCCTTCTTTACAAATTCTCCCAGAGGCAGTCCTCCCCTCAGACTTCTCCCTGGCTCACTGGATGCACCTCTATACTCTTATGTGATTATAAGACGGGAGAGCTAATGAGATGGATAGTGAGTGACTTTGAAGGAAAAAAGCGAAAAAATCAGAAATGAATCTTTAAAGTATAAAAATACAAACCAAGCTTGAATATTATCTGAGAATAAATTACACTTCATTAAATGATCCTGATATTACCTACCAATAAAAACTTTTAATGGCTCCCATGGCTAAGGAGTAGGTCCCAAAACTCTTTAGTTTGGTATAAGGGGCCCTCCCAGCCGGAGTCCTCACCTGACTCTCCAACTCCCTCTACTTCTAGCCACCATCAAACACTACCCTTTCCATAAAATAAAGGAATCACACATAGGACACATAATTCAAGTAGGAATTTTTTTTCCAAAATCATTTATTTTAATTGTACATTACATTTGCTATCCCATTCTATGCCAAAAGACATACGTATTCTGAAATGTACCACGTGGTCACAGAAACTAGGATATAATGCGGACTGTCTCACTTCTTTCTACTGTGGGGGAACCACACTAAATACTTCCTTGAAAACATAACAGGATACAAGCGGTCTGACAAATGCTATTCAGTCATTGATTTATTCACTCAGGGATGAAGGATGCAAAAGCAAGAAAGACCCAGACAAAGAGGTCAGAGACTAGCTGTCTAAAATCATTACACATCAGTGTGAAAAGTCTCGCTTCCTTTAACCCAGAAATCATCACTCGGGCTGCCTCAGGCTCACACACACACTCCTCAATTCAGAGTCAAGCTTCTATATTTTCTCAATTTCTGGCTGGCATCTGCATTCTATTTCTAATTCACTTCTGATTAAACAGTTACATACTCTGTCCTCAAGATTATAATTCCTATTTCCTAAGAAAACAGACAGCAATGTACATAAGGATTTTAGGGGAAAACTCTATAGCACAATTTATAAGTTATCCTTAAATTGATGCAGGCTACAATTTTAAAAGTCATTCTTGAAATTGTGGTTTTTATGCACAATGGAATACTACTCAGCCATAAGAAATGATAAATGCAGCCATTTGTGACAACATGGATGGATCTTGAGGGTATTATGCTAAGAGAAATAAATCAGAGGGAGAAAGTAAAATATCATTATGATCTCACTTATAAGTAGAAGATAAAAACAATGACAAACACACACACAGAAACAGAGATTGGATGGTGGTTACCAGAAGGGAAGGGGAGAAGGCAGAGCAAAAAGGGGTGACTAGGCACATGTGTGTGGTGATGGATGGTAATTAGTCTTTGGGTGGTGAACATGATGTAATCTACACTGAAATCGAAATACATAATGATGTATACCTGAAATTTACATAATGTTATAAACCAACATTATCTCAATAAGAAAAATTTTTTTTAAAAAGTCATTCTTGCATCATCCCGAAATGGCTAAGTTTTTAATGAGAGGACTGAGTTAGGGGCAAAGAAGGAGGGGGGAAAGAGCGAGCAAGTCAGTTTTAGGAGCATTCCAGGACAGGAAATAATACTCTGTAATTCTGGAAATAAAATATCTGTAATTCAAATTCAAGGACTGACATCTCCAACAAATTTTGAATTTACATTTGAACTATTCCACGTGTAGAATAATTTGTTGAATGGCATGCTACAAAGACCAATAATTTTATTAACCTGGACAACAAGCTAACCAAGATATAGGCAAACAGTTGTTGCTGAATTAATCTCATTCACCCCTTAATAAATTACAGATATAAGAAGTTAGCATGTTGGAGGGAAAAAGGTCATCAATTTTGGCATCAGACAGAGTTCAAATACCACCCCAGCTACCTTTGTAACCCAGAGAAAATACCTTAACCTAAAAAGCCTCAGATCCCCGATGTGAAAAATGCCAAGAATAATACCTATTTCACAGGATCTTGAGAATTAAATGACAATGGCTATATGTTGCCTTTCATACATAATAATGATGCTACCTGGAGGAAAAAGTCCAGGTCATCAGAGGAGTGGCAGTAACAGTAATAGCAGCAGATGCATGGAAGCAGAAACAGCAGATCACATTTACTGAGTGATAATGACATGCCAGGCATGGGGAGCTTTATATACATTTCAATTAGTTATCACAACAATTTCATGGGGTGGCTACTATTATTTTGCCGATTTTACAGATGAAACAGTTTCAAAAGGTTAGGTAACTTATCCAAAGTAGTGAGTGGCACACTAGCCTCTGGTTTTAATTACTATGCTATAAAGATTATAAATCTGAAAAGTACGAAAGCTGTTTTCCAAGAGCAGCTAGTTTAACTTAATATTATCCAATTCACTGGGAAAGGAGACCAGCAAATTGTATAAATGCAGGCTCTCATTTCTGCTGAATCATACAATGTGAACTGATTTTGACTGCATCCAAAATTTTCTCACCAAGTAATCTGCCCAAATAAACTACCAGGATGAAGGAGCCAATTAATTGTGACAATTGAAAGAACTAGCACAAGAAAAGAGCTTCAGGGGCTGGCCCAGTGGCATAGCGGTTAAGTTTGCATGCTCCACTTCGGCAGCCTGGGGTTCACAGGTTCAGATCCTGGGCGTGGACCTAGCACCACTCATCAAGCCACACTGTGGTAGCATCCCACATAAAATAAAGGAAGATTGGCATGAATGTTAGTTCAGCAAAGATGTTCCTCAAACAAAAAGAGAAAGATCGGCAACAGATGTTAGCTCAGGGCCAATCTTCCTCACACACACACACAAAGAAAGAAAAGAGCTTCAGAATTTACACAGCACCTTCTCTCCTTCCCCACCCCAACTAAGAGCAGGGACTGCGGTCTCACTGTTCACCGTTATGCCCCAGGGACCACCAGTAGGTCCTTAATGAATACAGTATTTATTTTACTGACTGATCCTCAAACATTTTTTAATCTAATTGCCCCCAACCCAATTGGTTATTCTATTTCAGGAGGTTGGGGCCATAGCCCAGGCATTCCACGGGTGATTCTGATGCGTGTTACCAACTGAGAAGCAACAGTGTCTCCCCAGAGTTCTCCAGTGAAGTTCCTTATCTGAACCATAGAACAGAAAACGTTTTGAGCGACTGTCTTCTCAGTTCTCACAAGGAAAGCACATAGCTCCATTCCAGATGCACAGGAAAGAAGTTAATTCATTACATACCCCTGTTGAGAAAAACTCTAATCTTTTCAATCCTATTAATCTGCAACATACAACTCTGAACACAGAATTATCCATTATTGCCCAAAGGGAGTCATAGGGAACCCAAGAGCCTCTACCTCACTGCAGAACTCTGTGCTCTTC